AGACCAACCACCCAATAATTATCAGACTTGTTCTTCATCTGAAATAAAAGTAATCACTGAATTGTCCTTCATTCACTGAAGGAAAAATAGAAAGGAAGATAGAAGGAAAAGTGAAGGGACGAAGTGCAGAAGGGAGGCTGGGAGACTGCAAAAACGAGGAGGATAAAGGAGGGATGAAGGACCCGAGAAATTGGAGAATGATTCAAAAGAAGGAAGAAAAATAGGGAGAAGAGGAGAACAGAGCAGAGGAAAAACACGACAGTAAAGGAAGAAGCAAAGAGGATGGATGCACATCAGGAGCGTTAGGAAACCTTGAATTAAGAAAGACATTAAGTAACAAAAAAATAAACAAAATAACAAATGAAATATAGAAAGGCATTGTTCTGACATGGGCAAAAAAAAAAACATATCTTAGACGACAACGGTAAGGCTTACTGGTGAGTAACGGAAAAAAATCGAAAAATATAAGGAAAACAATGAGGAACCACAAGTTTAATCTTATGAAGTTTTGTTTCAGCAAAGTGCCTTTAAATTTGGCGATCTGATCAACGTTGGTGTAGTAAAGGCAACTTTCACAAGTTCTTACAAACATGTGAGCACCACATCAAATCTCGAGAACACCACGTCTGGTCACCTGAACATCATAACCGGACACTTACATTGCTTTTAGTGACACAAACGGGACTCCATGATGTACCAAAGGAACGAGACAATAATCTTACAACCCCAGCTGAGTCAACAGTAACTGGAGAACCTTCCTCAGAGAATCTTAAAGGAAAAGTAAAAACTAAGAGTAACTCCCTCTAGAATGACTAACAGGTATATATACGGAGCCCCTAAAGGGCCATAGCTTTTCTTTTTCTCACGTCAATATATATATCGATATATAAGATATATATCAACATATAAATCAATATATAAGATATATATCGATTTATTTCAATTATATATCGCCTTATTTCAATTATGTCAACATATTTGTCGTCATATATGTCGACATATATCTTGCCTTATTTCAATTATGTCGATATCACAACTCTATGTTGGATATCACAACCTCGCTACATAGCCATGCGCACTGCTTTCTGGAAATGATGTAAGATGAACTGGTCGAGATAACATGTCAACATATAATTTGAAGGAAAAGGCGAGATATATGACGACAAATATGTCGACATAATTGAAATAAGGCGAGATATCTGTCGACATACATGTCGATATACAAGTCGGAATATTGACGAGAGAAAAAGAAAAGCAATTCTCCAAAATCTCTCAATACTGCTATCACTGTCACTGGTAAGGTCGCGCAGTACTTGAAACCGCGTGGAGCAGTTTATATAGCGTCATATAAGGAACGCGCTAGACCAATCAGATTGCTGGAAACTCTGCTCAACTCTGAAATTATACTAAATAATTATATATATATATATATATAAATTCACTATCTTACTCATAGTAATAAACCCAACTCGTATAGTAGTGGAAATGAGGCCTGAAAACAAATACAGGTCCATACGGGATTTGAACTTATGACCTTTACGATGCCAGTACTGTTCTCTACCATTACTTGGCTGATAAGCTAACTAGGAGCTGGTCACTGTGTTGGTTCATATTAAACCCGTTGAGGTGATAAATCCATGAATTCGAATGTATGACAATCAGATATGTGTACTGCGGTTTCATGAAATGGAGGGGGGGGGGGAGGGGAAAGAAGCTGATTAAAAGCAAGTGCCTGCATAATAAGGTTATATTGTTTCTTACCCTAGCCAGCCCAGTGTTGACTTCTCACTCAGCAACACCCTCTCCTCTACAATGATTTCCTGGTTGTGCTTCAAATCCAGTAATTTAAGAGCCAAAGCTTGCTCACCAGGAAGGGGGTTGTTAATATGAAACACGACCATCAGTTGGTTCTTGTATCCTGACATACACACCACTGCACCAGGAAGGCTGAGAATGTCACGCTGAACCCCACCAATGGTAAATATGCGAAGGAAACGCTTGTCAGTTGCAACAGCTGCAAAAGAGCTGCCGGTTGCCACTGCCTAACAGGTTGAAAAGCAGTAAATTCATGTAAAAAGCTGTTTGAAACGACTAATGAAACAAGCAAATTTTATGCTTTTTTGCGGGCCCCTGTCATTCTGCAAGTAATCCCTCATTATCAATGCTTCATTTCAAGCTTTTCTTCATCTTCAAACAAGTTTGAGACAGTGAGCAATACTGGTCAGCAGGAGAAAGTGCAATTGACCTGGTACTGCTGATCAGTACCAGACCCCTCCTGACGTGTCAAAAATCTTCCTGCAGGCAGTGAAACACTCGTCCTGCAGTGTTAATAGTGAGTGCCTACTCATAAACTACTATCATTCGAAAGAGAAACTGGTTTATATCCTTAATACAACCAATATTTGAAAGTTTTTTCTTCTGTAATGTGTCTTCAGCTTTTCAACATCAACAAATGCCTTGAATGTTGCCTTGACTATAGAACAACATCTTTTTTTATATTTTTAGTAATAATTTTTAAAGAAGAATGTTTTAGGCTACTAACTTGGATCGATTCTCCCTCAGGTAAGACAACAGTCCATTCTTTTGAATTATCCCAGCTTCCAAAATGGATACAAACAAGCTTACTACAACAACGTAAAATAACAAAGGTTAAACTTTAACACATAAAAATTTTGTTACATTTTCAAGATCTAATGGCCCTGGAAAAGCTCCTGAGTCTGTCATGCTCCTAAACCGCCCCCCACCCCTCACCTGAAAGTAGATCAACCATTTCATCCGCAAGAGTGACCTTAATAAGATTCTTTTGTCACAATAGCGATCCATTTTGACACATAGGCGACGAGAAGGACTAAAACAAATATATAAACAATAGCCTCCATTTGGCAAAGATATAATTACTGCTCAGATATTTGTCTTCAGTCATCATCTGTACCTTGGTGAATCCTCACGAGCTTTGCATGCTAACAAAACAGCACTGGATGACAGGGCAGCCATGGTGTGATTTAGATGATTGGTCAGATGTAAAGGGTGATGGGTACTTGTGTCATGGAATTCAACCTCTATTGATGATATCTCATCTTCCGTGTGACAGCGCACTATTCCAACTGAATTCCATACCTGAAGATGGACAAAGATAAGCAATAAGGTGAGGAAATGGTTTTGCTCTGGAAACAATACAACATTGGCTACACTCACACTTGGTGCCGGAACATTAGTGCCATGGCATGGGTACAAAATGGTGCTGTGTTCAGACACTGGGTACCCGATATATCAGCCCCTGGTTCAGTGCCCTGGCACAGGCACGGTGTCCAAATTCTGGCATGGGTACTTGAAAAAAAGGTGTGTTCACATTAGCGCCTATCAAGAATCATACTTGGGTGCCATGCTCAAGCACCAAGTGTGAACACAGCCATTATAAGTCTCCAAGTAAGGTTCAGGCCTCAAAATTTCTGCCAAAGTGCAGCACACTGTATATAAAATTATAGGCCCAATGCATCTCCCACACAGAAAAGGATTAAATCACAGTCAAGCAATATCATTTACTAACCATGAACCTGTGCATTAAGTGGACTGGGGTTGAGCCAGGTTGGAATGGTGGCTGGAGTACTGGAATAAATGGAGTGTGGATCACTTCCTGAAATGAGAAGCATGATAGATAGATAGTTTATTTGCTAAAAGAATTGCAGTCAAAAACTGAAATACACTATAGCTTATTATAACATAACCAAAGTAAAGCGCGCGCTCTGATTGGTCAATTTAGCGTCCCCCATTTGCCCATGGGTGTACGCTGCTGACATGAGCAAATGCAAAGACTATTTTTCCGCACGCGCTTGTTTTTTCTGGTCGTGTAAGATTTGTTAAATAAAAGGGAACTCTTTAGCTACAATGTATCAATGTTATGTTATAAAACAAATGGTAAACACCACAGCGTACACTATTGAGTTATGGATGCACTTGGGAGGTTTGCTAAGCACTCAAGAAGCTAGAGTCGCTCTCGGCTATCGCCTTGAGCGACTCTTACGCTTCTTTCATGCTTAGCAACCTCCTGCATGCATCCATAACTCAATAGTGTACGCTGTGGTGTTTACCATTTGTTAACAAGTAAAATTTTAAGAAAGATATATGAATACATGGATATGAATATGTAAAATATTGAAGATCCTAGACAATCCTTGTGTGTCTACCCATTAAGAATTATAAAAAAACTTGAATTATAATTAATAAACTGAAAAGTGGATTGACAACGCTTCGTTTTACATTTAGGTAGTACAAACTTTGAACTTAATTCTCCTAAGATTATAGTTCAAGGCTTTCACCTCTGGGAGAAGGGGATGGAGCATGACAAAAAAATATCTGTTTAGGTAGACCATATTTCAGGGCTGTGGTCTAGTAGCACCTGGTGGCCCCTGGTGCCTTACTTTTGCTCTTGGGTGACTCAGGAATCTTAGTATTTTCATAAAAAGCATGCTGAGCACCCTGGATTTCACAGTTTCAGAGCACTGGGCTCCCTTCAATTTTTCTTAGAGCACAGCCTTGTACTTACAACAAATATTTATCACTTCTTGGGGTTAATTGGTTAATGGAATTCCGTAGATTTGTGAAAATTATGCACATAGTACACTGCACCACCTTTGTCAAGTTTAGTAATAATTCTTTCTTTGACAGCTGAGAAGAAGTACAAATCTCTAGTATAATCACCTTCTTAGGGGCCTGTGGTGCAGACACTTCACTACCTGTGTCTCCATCATTCCCGCCATCGCCAAACTCTAATGGAGCTGCCAAGGCTGCTTTCAATTTGCGGATGTCTAGTGTAGAGAGAAAAAGAGGTAAATCAAGTAAATAGTTTTAAAATGAATGGGAACTTCATGATGAAGATAGGGGTTTCATTGATGTTTTCAGCAGGAGGGCAACTATAGTTTTCACAGGCTGACAAAACTTTTTGAACTGAACTTCTTCATAGGATAAAATTTCCTTCAAATTGTCAAACCAGGTGGGCACAATTACCCTCCTCAGAACTCCAGTCAATTTGCCCATTTCCCAAAATTAACGGTAACCCGTTAACCAATTGCTATGTCAGGCATGCCAGCCCGCGGTATCTGTCACATATGTGCACACACGCCGTGTGCATACCTTGCAGATTTGAGAACCGCCATGTTGAAAATATAGATGTTGAGTTTGTATTGAGTTGTAGTTTTTTGTCTGACTTAAATCCGCGAAACACAACACCAATGGTTAGTAATTTTCAATGTTTGGTTACTACAAATGTGTCCAACTAACCTGACATGGTTAGTAAAATTTTCTAACATATTTAAATATTGGTAGACCTCAGGACAAAGAGCATGTAGACCCAACTCTCAGAGGAATACTTAGAATACTCAAGTTGTTAAGTCAATTTTAACTCTTTTTAGAGAATGTGCTGTAGATGTACTGTTCTTAACTAATCATGGTAAATGAGAGGGAAATAAAATAGGTGCATAATTGTCAACATTTTTTAGGTCACCATGCAATTTCAGCTACTCTTTAATTTGTCCTAGTCATTATTATCAAAATGTTCAATATTTGAGATATCGTAACTTGTGAGCTTGGATACCAAACTTTATAATTATTTTGGTAATTAAAAAAGATGTCTATACTAACCCGAAGGGTTAGTGATCCAGAATTTAAATTCGAGCCCTGCATTTCCCGGCCCTTAGTGAAACCTCTGTGAAAACTTTTGATCGATCCCAATCTTTGCCAATGAGGATTCAATAATTATTTGACTACTGCCGTGTTGGTACTTCCCAGAAGTAAAATAATTTAAAACTTTCTCACGAGTGTTCTCAATACCAGAACAGTTGAATAAGCAGGAAGGAGTTATCAAAAAGAATAATTTATTTCAAGCTCAAAACATAACAAAAACAAAATGGCCACAACAGAAAAAATTAGTGCCAAAGCCCACAGTCCTTAGCAGCAAAACCATAAAAAGGCAGGGAAATGAGTGGGATTTGAACAAATCCTTCTTTAAAAACAAGTAACAATTCCTCGCGTAGTGTAATCAACCAACAAAGAGACTGCATGTTTACCATAATTGACAGTTAAATGTCAGAATGATTGATCAATCTTATCCAGACTAATTAAGATGTGGTTCTCAAAACTCTGTGACAGCATTCAGCACCAATTTTTCTAACCTTTGAACTCATCATCATCATCATCATCGTCTGCCTCCTCATCTATCCAAGCAGTGGACTTGCTTCTTTGTTTTTTCTTCCCAATGATAAGCTGTTCATCATCACTATCAGCATCCATGGCAGCAGTCACCAAACTGTCATCCATGAAATCATTGGCAGTTACAGGGTGATTGGAGCTTTTTACCTGCAAAAGCAAAGTAATATTAACCCTTTAACTTCCAGAAGTGATTAAAAAGTAACTTCTCCCCATGATATCCATACATTATCCAGCAAACAGGTAATAAGAATACTCAAACCAATCAGGTTGTTAGGTACCTTGATCTAACACCAAATTCTTGTAACTTAATATTTACCAGAAAATGTGTAGCAGCTAAAGGGGAGAATTAACAATCAGATCTTGGGAATTCAAGGGTTAATCCTTGGACCCTTAAGAGTGACTAGCATCTAAGTTCTCCTTATGTCATCACCTCAGAATCCCACATTAATTTTAAGGTCATTAGAACAAAGGAAATGATCACCAGCTGAAGAAGCCCTTGATATTTTAATAAATTCCCCTAGTAAGCTCTCTTGGAAATGTATAGAGAACAGTAAGGACAATATGCATACTGATGTTAGGGTAGGGTGTAAAGTGTTTGAGTGAGACAATGAAATAATTCATTTCATAATTTATATATAAAACTTTTACAGGGCATTTCTGCTCTACAGGTAATAACGAAAGATAAGGGAATATGTATCTGGATGTTCCATGCTCCTTTTAATCTGTGACTTGAGCTTCTTTCCCTTGTAAATGCATTTATCTTGTTAGATCCCATATTCTACTGAGTGATGCTTTCTTTTCATCTTCTTTATTTAAACAATATTGAGCAATACAAAATACTTTACATAGTTTCTACATAAACTGCCAGCTATTCAGATTTTCCAACCCTTAGCACTCTTGCTCTAACATCTTCTTGTTCTCCATGGGGTCCAAGACAAAATAACTCACATTTAAGGACAATTTAAAACCCTGTACCAACAAATTCTTTAGATTTGTTTCTTTGTTTGTTTTTCCTCTTTCTCTGTATATTTTTAGATAAATCACTTTAAGATGTTTTGTCATCATCTCTCATTGCATGCTCTATTTTCTTTTCTTTTCCCTCTTTATTTTAAATTTCAAAAAGAGGTGCAATATATCCATTACTAACCTCGTCGTTTGGTATCACATTCTCACAAACACCAAACTGACCCTGTAGCAAATACAAAGTGAAACCAATAAGAAATCATTGTCTTCAAGAGTTTATCACAGGTAGCTTTCTTATAGTTCATGGCACGGCTGCATTACGGTCTCATCAAAGTCCTTGGGTTGGACTTATGGACAGAACACACAAATACCCTCTTGAACCTTTTCTTTACTATCAGACATTTAAAACTTTTGAGGCCACCACAAGATGAATAATATTAATTATTGAAAAGGAATGAGGGAGAGCAATGAGTGAGAGAGATGAAGAATGAGGGGTGATGGTAAGAGGGGGGGTTGGGTTGGGGATGTGAGGCTGAGGAAATTGTTAGGGAGGGAGGGATGGGGAGGAGTGACAGGTTAGGGGTGAGGGGTGAGGGAGTGGGACGAGGTAGAGGAGGGAGCAAAGGGTTGGGTAATAGCTGAAGGGTAATTGATGAAGTTTGCAAGATGAGAGGGAGGGAGACTGGTGACAGGCAAACAATCAGAAATAAGAGGGGAACCATGAGAGATGAAAGGTTGTTTCTTAATTAGAAATGCAGGATATAGAGGAAGGTATAAAAAAAGAGTGAAAAATGACAACTGAAAGGTAGGGAAGGTGGAAATGAGGGGTTTGGAATGTGAAGGAAGCGGAAAGGGTAAGAGATGAGGTTTGTGGATATGAGGTGCAGGAGGCTAGCAAGGAAAGGATGATCGGGGGATGGGGAGGGGGGAGAGGGGCAAAGTCTGAGGGAGGCATTAACATTTCAGACAACGATCAGGTATTACGGGTATTAGCAACTAAGGTTTGGAGGGAGGCTGAATTCTCAATTTTTTTCCAATTTGTAAAGGTTTTCCATTCCTTTAATAACAATTACTTTATACTAGCCCCTGAACCATTAGTACTAACTCACATCTTGCCAGGGTAAATGCTATTGCCTGTGTCAAAGGTTTCCTACCTCAGCTGTATAAAAAGGTATCAACATACATGTAACAGTACAACTAAATAATTAAAATTACATTTTTGCTTACCTGATTATCAGTATAAGCAATTTCTTTGTTTCCTTTTGGATTCCATGCCAAGCCACAAATGGTATGTCCACTTTCATGAGTTATCCTAGAACAAAACAATATCACATAAAACTTCATGACCTTAGTCAATCTAAATCCTTTTCTTGAGCTATTTTGAAAGTAAAAATATCAAGGGTGGTCTGCAGCCGTGTCTAAATGCATGCAAAGAAATGGAGTTTTTCTTTAAGTGTTCAACTAGATATCTCACAAGTGAACGCAGCAGAAAAGTGAGAAATTGGGTTGAACACTTGAAGAGAAATTTCACATCTACAAGCAATCATGTATTATTTTGTTTGTTTATTATATAAACACAATACGCCTTTATTGACAATTGACAAATGGTAAACACCACAGCGTACACTATTGAGTTATTGATGCACGCGGAAGGTTGCTAAGCACGAAAGAAGTGTAAGAGTAGTGCGAGGTGATAGCCGAGAGAAAATCTAGCTTCTTGAGTGCTTAGCAAACCTCCCAAGTGCATCCATAACTCAATAGTGTACGCTGTGGTGTTAACCATTTGTTTTATAACATAACATTGATACATTGTAGCTAAAGAGTTCCCTTTTATTTAACAAATCTTACACGACCAGAAAAACCAAGCACGCGTGGAAAAACAGTATTTGCATTTGCCCACGTCAGCAGCATACACCCATGGGCAAATGGGGGATGCTAAATTGACCAATCAGAGTGCGCACTTTACTTTGGTTATGTTATAATAAAATTTGGATCACATTTACAATAAGTACACTCAACCGATATTTCTGTTGATATATCGGAGGGTAAGTTGATACTCAACCGATATGTTGGCCTACATTCAGCCAGTAGTCAATCAACACTTGATGAATAGTTGGTCGACACTCAGTCAATAGTCATTCATTAGTTAGTTGATACTTGGTCGAGACTCAGTTGATAGTCAATAACCTCACCTGATAAATCAAGCGACTATCAACCAAGTCTCGACTGAGTATTGGCCAACTATCAACCACCTATCAACCGATTGTCCACTACTAATCAATCGAGCGTTGACCAACATATCAGTTGAGTGTTGACTGACATCTTAGTCAAGAGTCCCTAGAGTAAACATGACTCTAAAATTCAACAAATGACCTTGGGTTGAGAATGGTGAATACTTTGCCATTCTTTTAACAACCTGGCAGGTTGGCAGGCATGCAATACAAGTGACATGTTACCAGCTGATTGACAATATTAAACACCCCTAAAAAATTATCTTATATGTACTTCTACATGTCACATCATAATCTTTAAGTTGTAATTTAAGTTGAAATTCAAGACAATTTAAAAAAAAAAAACTATAAGAGTCTATCTGCATAAATTAATAACTTGGGGCATCTTATCATAGACTCTTCTTATTTGAGGCCCAAACCTCTCAATAACTGCCTGCGTTGCCACCTTCCAGATAAACATCTCTCCATTGATACTAGCAGATGCAATGTAGTTACCACAGGGAGACCAAGACACAAGAGAGACCAACTGAAATACCAGATACCATTTAAAACATTAAGTCACTGAATTTATGCAATAATTTAGCAATTCAGAAATACACCATTTCCTCAATTTAAGTGTTCATCTAATATTCGCCTGATCAATACTATCGCAAGATCATTTAGTGACACATTTAGTGACACATTTAGTGATATTAGTATGATCCTTGTCTTTCTTAATGAACAAGTTGGGGAGTTACGATGTAAAAAAACAAGTGATTATTTTACCATAAATGTACACACATACCTCACTATGACCATCTTTTTCCAGGTTGAAAGTATTTTTCCATGTATCCCTTTCATAAACCTACACAGAGAATGTAGCCATTACTTATTAGCATAAACAGAAGCACTCTTGGTGTAAGTTTAAGAAATAGCTGCTGACCTCCACTGACTGACTCACCCACTCACTTGCTCTGTGAATGGCTGACTGACTGACAGACTGACTGACAGACTGACTGACAGACTGACTAACAGACTGACTGACAGACTGACTGACAGAGTGACTGACTGACAGACTGACTGACAGACAGACAAACAGATTGACTGACAGACTGACTGACTAACAGACAGACAGACAGACTGACTGACTGACTGACCATGACAGGTGGATATGAACGACTGCCCTACTGACCAAATAACTGACTGACCAATTGGCTATCTGGTTAAATGTCTGACCAATTGAAAGTTCAATGGATGCATCCACATCCACTAATGGCCAGAGAGACAGTCAGAGAGAACAATTAGACCAATGGATAGGCTGACTGGCTGACTGAGTGATCAATAAAGTAACACATTGACAAGGAAATAGAAAGACAGCTTAGCAAAGAGTTGGTGTAAACCAAGAATCATCAATTAAAAACCATGTCCAACCCTAATACACCCTTTCTCTAATACAATTCAGCCCTTGATCCTCTGAGAGTGACCAGCACCTAATTTCTCCTTACAATGGCACCACTGAATCACACATTAAGGTCAGGAGAATAAAGGAAATGATCACTAACTTAAGAAGCTCTTGATCAGTAAACTATATCTCCTTGCCTGCAGCTTAGGAAATGTATCAAAAACCATATGGAGAATATGCATACTGATGTTAGGTGTGAAGGGACAACATATACCTTGACAGTTTTCTCCACTGGAACAGCCATATACTAATAAAAGATTCCAACAAGAGAAGAATAAACAAAAGTTAGATGAATTTGGTTTCATCTTTGTATCACTTTTTTCACTTAAAATGTATCACCAAATTCACCACACATACAGTACCGTACCTTGCCACGCTCTGGCTGCCAAGCAAGTCGGCATAACGTCTTTGAGATCCTAGAGGAATGAGAATTAACAGATCATTTAGTAACAGTCAGATATCCATCAAAATATAAGAACTGCAAAAGTCATAGAGCTGTGAGTTCTACTTTTGTAAATCTCTTAAAAGGGAAGCCAGCCCATGAAGGTCAAAGAGGTGTAACTTTTGCATGTCTGTATTACTTCTGTGTGTACATCAATAAGTCCATGATTTTCCCCTCTAGCTGTAAGACGGCCAAAATGGTCAATGTAAGAACAAAAGATCCGAGGGAAGATTTACAAGTTTATTACACGGCAGATAAATGCAATGGTACAAAAAAAACGGGAACAAGTGACACAAAAGCTAGTATAACTCGGAATCCGCTTTAAGGGCACTCTCGGGAAGGCAACAAATCAACTGAACTTACCGAGCAAATGGTTGTAACTTATAGTAAAATACAGGAAAAGGTAAAAATAACTTAAAACCAAATTTGGGTTAGGAGCGGTCAACAAAACAGGAATTACATAAGGGAAATCAGTGTTTACTCTTACACAACAGTGCAAGGGCAGGTACTGGAATAATACAATTAACACATTACTAACACAATTAACACATTACTAACACAATTAACACATTACTGACAAATCGCTAAAATTTCAGAAAATAAAATAAACAGAAGAACAAACATGTTTTAAGTAGAAAATAAGCCTAAGTGACTCTGTCACATGGCTATTACACATTTTCTTGTATATACGTATATTGGTTGTGAGCATTTAGTGATAGATCAAGAAAACAGCTTCTACTGATAAGTTTGTGTATTCTCATTACCCATTTGCTCGGCTGGATAAGGTATTGATATTTAACGGAGAAGTTACAAGTTGATCACCTCTGGGAGTTAAAGGGTAAGCCTTTGCTTTTAGAGCACAGCTCCAAAGTCAATTATGAAATAGTCAACAAACGTAAAAATTCAATTTCCAGGAAAAAATGGAAAAGGACACATTATGCATAGCTCTTGGTGTACAAATAAATTTGAATAAAAAGCAAAGAGAACTCATTGCTGCAAGATAAAGTGAATCAGTATTCCAATACAGTGATTTATTTGTTTTATCATTCTACAGAAATTGTGGACTACCTTGCATCATTCACCCTGGGAAGGATTGATAAAGTTGTCTTGCATGTCTGCCGGGAAAATCAAACAAGAATATATCAATATTGATTGGGTAAGGACAAAACATGGACCCCTGGTCCATGGGCCCCCACTTTGGACACGGTCCATGGACCCCTTTTCGTAGACCCCATATAAAAATAGGATATATTTTGTTTCGCAAGTTTTTTTTTGGTTCACAAGTACTTACTACAATTTGGATCATACCGGCTGCATCCGATCCGACAATACAACCACAATGAATTCCACTGCATGCGCTTTGTAAATGCACGTTTTTCGCTAATAAATGCAAACCAAGATCAGTTTTGAAGAAAGCACTTGTCCTGAAATATTTCTTGCTCCTTTCATCTTGCTCCTCATTGAAAAGTTCCATGTAACATGAGATCTCTTCGCACAGGGCCAAATTTGCATACTCACTTTGAAATCTGATCTGCTTACTGGTTTGGACACTTGTATAAATATTTAGCGATTTTTGTCTTTCATCTTGATTTTAGAGTAAAAACTTAATAGGCACCTATGATTTTCTCATCCAAAATAAGTGGTTTTATTATAGCTTTTGTTTCTTAAATTTTTTGTTGTTTTTTGGTTGCAAAAATAGAGTAGCATGTGAACGAAATGACTCGAATTTCTGGCATGAAAATCAGGCGTCGTCTTTGCTGTGGGAAAGGCGGTATTTGGTTTTATCGGATCGGATGTAGCCGGTATGATCCAAATTGTAGTAAGAACTAAATGCAAACCAAAAAAAACTTGCGAAACAAAAAATATCTTATTGTTATGTGGGGTCCAGGAAAAGGGGTCCATGGACCGGGTCCAAAGTGGGGGCCCATGGACCAGGGGTCCATGTTTTGTCCTTACCCATTTTGAGTAAATGCAACAGGTTATAGGTAAATGCAAAGATTTCAGTTGCAGTCAGTAAACAAAGCATTGCTAAGAGAACATCACAAGGCAAAAAACACCTAGTCAACTTTTTTTGGTGATTGTCTTCATGTCCCTTAATTATCTCTGTTATTATTTTTCTTCTTCTTCTTTATCTGTTTATTCCTTCACCAATTTTTCTTATACCTATTTTCTTAAATCGTTTTTATGTGAATTGCATGTAGTAATCAGCAATGTACTGTTTTGTTCATTAATACCTGATATATTTATACATGGTAATGCAAATAAATGATTAAAAAATGAGAAAAACAAAAAATACCTGATCACCCAAATTCCAGATTTTAACTGTACCATCACAACTTGATGAAGCCTAAACACAAAATAGCGTAGTTTTAAATTCTACTTGAGACTTTCTTTGATCATTTTTTTCTAAATAACTGGTTCTTAAAAATATCCATGTACCTCCAGGCTTTTGAGATAGATGTTTAAACATACACCCTCCCTCCCAGGGGTATAACTTGGAGTGTGGGGTGGGGGATATATACAATTGACAATGTTTTTGTCAAAGTTCAAGTTTACAATGATAAAACTATGCAACAAGCATTGTGGGTTGTACAGATGCTAAACCATTAACAAACAAAAAACCTTTAGTTAGTGGTTTTTACTAACTCATCAGCACTTTCAAATTTTTTCTAATAAAAATTCAGATCTGTTCTTCTTTCCCTCAAAAACTTCCAATCATATTCTCACCCCAAGTACGTTAAATTTCCAGGATATAAAGATTTTTTCAATAAAATGCTGAGAAATCTATCCTCCAACTTACAGCATATTGATCTTTAGGATCCATTGTCACACTTAACACTGGAGCTTCATGGCCCCTAAGAACTTTTTGGCTTCCATCTGCTACAGTGACCACCTTTATGTTAAAATCACTGCAAGGAATAATTCATTATTAGAGAAAATAATTTCAAAATTTATGTATATACCTGAAACAATGTAGCAATGTGGGCATAAACCCACACTGTCCAATTACACAAGCATGACATGTACACTGTCAAATTACAAGCATAATGTATACACCATGCTATTAGCGCTCTAATTGTATTGGTTAGAACCAATCACTTTCAAGAATTTTGTTACAGTTTTGATAGGACATTAAAAATTTATTGATATAAGTTTATCATAAGGCAAAGCATGCAAACAAATTCATTGAAGAAGTTAGAATGCGAGATGTGCCGGTGTCGTAACCATGGAGCACTCCTCCCCAAATCAGCCCGTGCTAGTGAATTTGAATTTTACTTTGTTTCATACCAGTGAAAAATGCCACCTCTCTTTACTCCAAATTTTCATCTGGAAAGATTTCAAAAATCTTTCATACCTGTGCTGACCATGTAGCCACAGATTGACAATTTATACAGTGCAAGCTAGTTGTTCCTCAGAAGCCATTTAACAAACCTTGCTCCTGCTGCCAACACTGATCCTGATTGGTTAAAGCATATATGATTGACAGATGCTGTAAATCTTGTGAGAATTCCATCAGGAGACCCCTAATATCATTTACAAAACATTTTAATTAAAATTGCATAACTCAAAGTCCCACGTACTTTACAAAATGGACTAATTTTCAGAAAATCTATGCACAAACAGTTTCACCTTCAAGATCCAACTCAACTATTTGCAAACTCAGTACTATGTGAAATACAATCAAAATTCACAAAATTCTGGCTTACACATAAATGCAACCACAAAATGATAGTTATAAAGAGGGGTAGAATAAAAAATTAATACACACGTATTCTGTACCTCTGGGAAGGTATAAACTTGAACAGAATTATCTGATGCAGTGACTATTTTCTTGTTCTGCAAAAAAAAAATGTTGCAAAGTAATAACCATTTGAAATAATAATTATAAACATCAAAATGATATACACTAATAACTTTTTAACAATTACCCATAGTCCTATATAACTCCCAAGATCTGATTGTTTGTGTTATGCCTCTGCTTTAGCTGCTGCATATAATTATTTCCATGTGAATTGGTTGTCAGAATTAATTTTTGGTGTTAGATCAAGATGAAAACTTTAACCTGATAAGTTTGAGTATTCTGGTTACCTGTTTGCTGGATAATGTATGGATATTATAGGGAGAAGTTACATGTTAATCACTTTTGGGAGTTGAAGGGTTAACAAATATTAAAGCTAAGTATCAGGCTACAAAAAGTAGTTAGGTATTACTATGATAGAACATTAGGTACCAGTGGTGGACCCTGACCTTGAGCTTAGGAAGCGAGAGGCTGTTTTTTTTCTGTGTGTACATCTGCTGTCTTTTCTTCCTTCTGTAATTTTTTTTTAACCTAAAATAAGGGGGGCCTAGGCCCTTCCCCTAGATCTACCACCTGGCATCAACCACTAATGACAAGCATCTCATATACAGCACCATACAAAAAGTAATGTCACATTGGTTTTTTCTTAATATTTTTCAAGTTGGACCCAATACAAAAATCATCCTCTTGACCTGTACCTTGACTAACAGGACTGTTACATTTTCTCCAGCCCTGACAGATTCTGGATCACTGTCATCAAAATCTTTGTATATACGTACATCTCCATCTGAGCCACAAGTCAAAAGGTAACTAAAACCAAAACAGAGAATGATAAGTGACTCATAGGAATTAAGTCTGGCAGATCTGAAAAAAGGGCCAGTATGCTAACAAACCGAATGGCCCTTTCTGCTGGCACTTGACCAGACTCCATTCAATTTTGAGTATAAAGAGATTTTATAACAAAATTAAACAATCATGATAATAGTAATAACACTGAGATACAGTGAAATATACGAAGTTCATATATTTTGTACTGTGGTATTAGATACATATGATGCACAATCCTCGCAGTAGATAGTGCTATTTAAGCAATAGTGAAAATGGTTCGAATCCCGTACAGGCCTGATTTTTTTCAGGTCTGATTTTCGCTATTGCTTAAATAGCGCTATCTACTGCGAGGATCGTGCATCATATGTATCTAATACTGCAGTACAAAATATATGAACTTCATATATTTCATTGTATCTCATTTATCCCTTTCACGGGTTTATTACGAATCAACTTAATGGCCTGCTCCCAGTTGGCTTGTTAGCTCAATTGGTAGAGCGCTGCACTAGTATCGCAGAGGTCAGTGGTTCGAATCCCGTACAGGCCTGATTTTTTTCAGGTCTGATTTTCGCTATTGCTTAAATAGCGCTATCTACTGCGAGGATCGTGCATCATATGTATCTAATACTGCAGTACAAAATATATGAACTTCATATATTTCATTGTATCTCATTTATCACTTTCACGGGTTTATTACGAATCAACTTAACGGCCTGCTCCCAGTTGGCTTGTTAGCTCAATTGGTAGAGCGCTGCACTAGTATCGCAGAGGTCAGTGGTTCGAATCCCGTACAGGCCTGATTTTTTTCAGGTCTGATTTTCGCTATTGCTTAAATAGCGCTATCTACTGCGAGGATCGTGCATCATATGTATCTAATACCGCAGTACAAAATATATGAACTTCATATATTTCATTGTATCTCATTTATCACTTTCACGGGTTTATTACGAATCAACTTAACGGCCTGCTCCCAGTTGGCTTGTTAGCTCAATTGGTAGAGCGCTGCACTAGTATCGCAGAGGTCAGTGGTTCGAATCCCGTACAGGCCTGATTTTTTTCAGGTCTGATTTTCGCTATTGCTTAAATAGCGCTATCTACCGCTAGGATCGTGCATCATATGTAGTAATAACACTAATGGAAAAAATGATAGTTAACAACTATTCACCCCAGAAGAAGTGGCTGGTAGTAGAAATTTACAGTCCCAGAGCAGCGAGGTAAATATCCACTGCTAGCCACCAACATCGAAGTGAATAAAATTGATTTAGTATATACTAAAACGAGTGTATCTTCATGGGTTGGACGATTTGAGTCAAATTTGTCGTAGCGAAATCAGCTTGGCGAAATCAGAGTGCCAGATTTTACGATTTTCATGAATTATCGCCATTTTCGTTATTGTATGCATTTCTGGACGTATCTTAAAGTTTTACATCACTTCACCCCACTGGTAGTGAAATAAACAAAGTCTCGAACGATCGATCGAGCACTTCATTGCTTTATCCTACCTCACCTTACATTCGCAGAGCGATCAAATACACAAATTGATCTATTAATTTATCCTTCTTTAAAGGTTATGATCTGACTTAGAAAGATCTGTCGATGGAGTGAAGGGACTCTAATCTAACCTTTGTTGTGCTAACGAGAAGAAAGTAACATAATTCCCAAACGCGCCATTGAAGATTGAAAAAACTGATCCACAAAAATCGCTCCACTTACCCGCCTGTTTCGTCGTAACAGACATCTGTTTGACCCTCACTGTGAGCAAATCGCATAGGCTTTCGATCCACTGGCATTCTGGCTATTAGAGAAAGGTAAAATACACAGATTTCCTCAAGCTTAGGGCTCAGAAATGTTACCCGCGTTCGACTGTGTAATTTTCCCGCCAGTGATAAATCGAAGTGCATTCTGGTAGACTCGGTCCAGCCTTCCGCATTCAAAAGTAAAATCCCTCTTGATCCTATAAAGTCCACATGAAAAACAATGTTTATTTTCAATAACGCTACGCTGATCCCTAATGAACCTCTCAATTTGTGTTTCAGAGAGAGCGTGTTGAAAGTCAAGTGGAGCCATAAAGTGACCCTTGACGGCACTCGCTACAGCAAAGTATAATCACTGCAATCAGGGCGAGAACTAACAAATTTCAGCAGTAATGACTTTACAGTCTTGTGGTTTACTTATTGACAGGTAGCTTAATCAATTTTGAAACCCATCCTCACTCACAAGGCAGTGATCACAAACCTTCGCAGAAGCTGACCATCTAAAAAATAATTAGACTACGAGCAGTCCGGCCCTCCTTCAGCGAGTTAAAAAAAAAGGAGTGAAAAAAATATAAATGTTCATGTCGAGGCGCCACGGAAGCTCTAATAGTGAGACACTCGAAAAGTCCGGCTGGTCTCTCCTATTGGAGCAGATCCAGGATTTAGTCAAGGGGGGTTCGGAGAATTGTTCCCCTTCTGAGGGGTCCCAGATTTTGAAAATTAGGTCTTCGGAAATGTGATTTCCAGCGTTCTGAGGTAAAATTTAGGGGGTTCGCCCGAACCACCCCTGGATCCCCCCCAGCTCCTATACTGGGTTCTGAAATAACTAATAATTAACAGATGAATGTAGCAGAAGGGTAAAGTGAATGGGTACAGAGGCTCAGTGTAAAGTGAGCTCAGAGGACCAGAGAAACGATGGGCACAGCGGACCAGTGAGTACAGAGGACCAGAGGAACAGTAGGAACATTGGAACAGTGGGTACAAAGGACCAGAGGAAAAGTGGGTAAAGAGGACCAGGGGAAGAGTGAGCACAGAGAACCAGAGGAAAAGTGGGTACAGAGAACCAGTGGGACAGTAGGTACAGAAGACCAGAGGAACAGTGGGCACAGAGGACCAGATAGAGGACCAGTGGAACAGTGGGTACAAAGGACCAGAGGAACAGTGCGCACAGAGGACCAGGGGAACAGTGGGCACAGAGGACTAGTGGAACAGTGGGCACAGTGGGCTCTGAGGACCAGTGGAACAGTGGGTACAAAGGACCAGGGGAACGGTGGGTACAGAGGACCAGTGGGAACGGAGGATTAGAGGAACTGTGGGTACCGAGGACCAATGGGTACAGAGGACCAGAGAAGCAGTGGGAACAGAGGAACAGTGGGAACAGAGGAACAGTGGGAATAGAGGAACAGAGGAACAGTGGGAATAGAGGAACAGAGGAACACTGGGAACAGAGGAACAGTGGGAACAGAAGAATAGAGGACTAGTGGGTACAGAGGACCAGAAGAACAGTGGGAACAGAAGACCAGAGGAAAAGTGAGTACAGAGGACAAAAGGAACAGTGGGTACAGAAGACCAGAGGAAAAGTGAGTGCAGAGGACCAGAGGAAGTTTGGGTGCAAAGGAATGGGAGAACAGTACAGTGGGGAGCATGGGAAAAAAGGATCGGAAAGAAGCCAGAGGAACAGTGGGTATAGAGGAGGTATTAAGTTGCGAACATTGATATATTAAGTTATTTGCCATGGATAAGCTACTGGGCCTGTTAAAACCAAAGACTTTGAGTAACCTTAGTTTATTGACAGTTACTGTGTGGTATGTGGTTGGAGTTCTTGTAATCGCAGTCTTCACAGATATCGAAATTAATGAATCAAGGTTTGACTTCCGCTGTAATGTGAAATCAAACGACCAAGCTGACAAGGAATTCATCCGTGGATGGTGTTTCGATGAGTACAGCAAGAAATACAATAAATTAATTTCTCCGTGTATGGCTTCGTCCTCGTTAACTTCATACTCATCGCAATCATTCCTGTTGTTTACTCACAGTGTGTGAAATCGACAGTAAATGGGCTCGAAAAGCCCAAAGCAGATGTCGAACGGCGGGGTCTTCTTCAAGACCCACAGAGAAATCAAAACGCCTTTTCCACAGCTATTGTTGTCAACTTGCCGTTGGATTTGCGTTCGCGATCCTTTTCATCCTAATCCAAACTCAAGTTGTTCTCTCTGGTACTTTCCCCTCGAACTTTCCTTGTACTCTTACGGAAGGAGGAACGAATTCCACAGCTTTATTATCATCAAACCTCACACAGACAAGAAATGATATTTACGACTGTCATAATGCACGAGCAATTAAGAAAACCTTCAGGACTCGCGCCGTATTTAGTTGCTAATGGGTTTTTGGCCTTTCTCATGTTTGTTGAAATTGTCTAGATTTTTTTACGGACATGGAACGAGAAACACTTTATGCAAGACCGTCAATTTTATTCTGCTTATAGTGATAAATCGAAGTGCATTCTGGTAGACTCGGTCCAGCCTTCCGCATTC